ATCATTAATCCATCTATCTATTGTTAATCCCTCCATCCATCATCCATCTATTGTTAAATCATCCATCCTCCATCCATCCATACATTTATTGTTAATTCCTCCCTCCATTCATCATCCATCCATCTTTAATCCATCCATCATTAATCCATCCATCTATTGTTAATTCCTCCATCCATCATTAGTCCCTCCATCCATCTAATGTTAATCCATTCCATCCATCCATCATCCATCCATCAATTGTTAATCCCTCCATCCATCCATCTATTGTTAATCCCTCCATCCATCATCCATCTATTGTTAAATCATCCATCCTCCATCCATCCATACATCTATTGTTAATCCCTCCCTCCATTCATCATCCATCCATCTTTAATCCATCCATCATTAATCCATCTATCTATTGTTAATCCCTCCATCCATCATCCATCTATTGTTAAATCATCCATCCTCCATCCATCCATCCATCTAATGTTAATCCCTCCATCCATCCATCCATCATCCATCGTTAATCCACCCATCATCCATCCATCTATTGTTAATCCCCCATCCATCATCCATACATCTATTGTTAATCCCTCCATCCAGCATCCATCCATCTTTAATCCATTGATCATTAATCCATCCATCTATTGTTAATCCTTCAATCCATCATCCATCCATCTAATGTTAATACCTCCATCCATCCATCCATTGTTGAATCCTCCATCAATCATCTATCCATCTTTTGTTAATCCCTCCATCCATCATCCACCCATCTTTAATCCATCCATCATTAATACCTCCATCCATCATCCATCCATCTAATGTTAATCCCTCCATCCATCCATCGTCCATCGTTAATCCATCCATCATCCATCCATCAATTGTTAATCCTTCCATCCATCCATCTATTGTTGAACCCTCCATCCATCAATCCCTCCATCCATCATCCATCCATCTTTAATCCATCCATCATTAATCCATCCATCTATTGTTAATTCCTCCATCCATCATTAGTCCCTCCATCCATCTAATGTTAATCCATTCCATCCATCCATCATCCATCCATCAATTGTTAATCCCTCCATCCATCCATCTATTGTTGAACCCTCCATCCATCATCCATCCATCATTAATCCCTCCATCGTTAATCCATCGATCATCCATCCATTCATCTATTGTTAATCCCTCCATCCCTCATCCATCCATCTATTGTTGATCCATTTATCGTTCCATCCATCCAAATGTTTAGTATGTTTTTTAAGATATTTGGTGCACAGGGACACAGTGTAAACCTCATAAACCATGTTTACATTTTAAATACCCATGTCATTATACACATAAACCATATATTCAAGCACACACACACACACACACACACACACACACACACACACACTCTCTCTCTCCCTCACTCACACACACATTCTGTCCTAATTACTGAAAGGATCTGATGGTTTTTCTGTTCTCTCTCTCTCTCTCTCTCTCTCTCTCTGTTGTGCTCGATGTCTTACTGTAAAGTGGATTTTGTAATCATGTTGTCATATACGCTGTGCTTATGTTTATTCGTGTTCTATTGGATGGGATAGCGTGTGCGGCTGCAGGCTGAGAGTTATTAGTGCTGCTGTTCTAATACTTCTGATTCTCTGCTGACTGGATTATATTGCCACATAATGAGGTTTTATTTGCGTTGCATGAGAAGTGTAATGGAGTCGCTCTGTGAGTGTCAGACGTGTGAGGTCGGGTATCGTGTCACATCTGGAAGTGCAGAACTCATTTAGCTGAGCGTAATGTGTGACTGAGAACATTAATGTGTGAATTACATCGCCGAGAGATTCGACACCTGTCTCACTCATCAGGAGACGAGCGGACTCGGGAATATCCTTCTGGAGTCGCTTTATAGCAGTGCATTGGTGAATGGTGTTAACTCTGATTGGCTGACAGACGCTCCAGGTGTTGCTTAATAAAGTACGTCCAGGTTTATTGACTAGCGATGGGAATTTTTCAGGAATTTGTTTTCTTTCAAAGAAGCACCATCATCTAGCCTACCAGCTTTAATACTGTAAGATTAGCTAGAATACTTCATATTTTCATTTTAATTACTTTAATTTATTTATTCTACTAAAAAAACTTGTTTGTTAAAAAAAAAATTCAAATGTTAAAAAAACTGTTTTGAAAATAATGTTTAAGGTGTGTGAATATCCGACTGGCTTTTATTTTATTAGAAGACTTTATAGCAGTGCATTGATGAATTCTTGATTCTGATTGGTTGACAGACGTTCCAAAAGTTGAATAATTAAGTATGTCCATGTTTATTGACTAAGGATGGTTCTAGATCAATTTCATTTTAAGGAACCACCAAATAAGTAATCATAACTTTTAAAATATAGCCTGCCATAATTTTTTGTTAACATTCATTCATTTATTTATGGAAGACAAAATTTGCATGTAAAAAATATTTTAAAATAGAAAGAAAACTCTTTTGTAAATAGGGTTAGGAATGGAATTCCTGGTTTATTGACTGGGAATTTTCAGGAATTTAATGATTCCAGGTTTGTTTATATTAAAGAAGCACCAAATAATTAATCAAAACTCTTCACATAGACTACATTAAAATGTTTTTTTTAACTCTTTTAAAAATAATGATTAAGGTGTGTAAACTCACATTAATTAAAAGTGTAAAAATACTGGTTATTTTTATTTTATTAATACTTTTAATGAAGCACCAAATAATTCATTGTGCTTTCCTATGAACTACTACTGTAGCATTTTTGGTCACATAATTTAATTTTAATTATATTAATTTAATTACTTGCAAAACTTCTTGGTAAAATCCACATCATTGGTGAATTCTTGATTCTGATTGGCTGACAGATGTTGATTAATGAAATATGTTCAGGTTTATTAACTAACTAATGGGAATTGTTAGGAATTTAATTATTCCTATTGCTTTTATGGAAGCACTAAATAATTCATTTTAATTAGTAGCATATGGCCTACTACTATAACATTTGAGGTCACATATTTCATTATTTTAATCAATTTTTTTCTTTAAAAAAGCTTGTAAAACAAATATTAAAATAAAAAAATAATGATTAAGGAATGTTAACATATTAATTGGAGGTGTAAAAATATCAGATTTGCTTTGATTTGATGCTTACACCTCTTGACATTTTAGAGTCATTAAATGTTGCAAATGAATAAATGATTTTCAGAAACATATGAAACTACTGATAGAGGTTTATCTGTGGTTACTGTGGCAACAGATGCTGATCCGTGATGCTCTATGCGTTCAGAAATCGAATCAATAGGAGTTAATGCTCTTGAAATGAGAGCGTATGGAGGACGATCCTCACGGTGCATTGATCTGAACATCAATACTTGTGTTAATGAGGAGCACGATGTTAATCATCACCGCCGCTGAAGGGTTAATTTAATGTGATCAGGTGACATTTCAAACCGAGGGCTATCTTCGACAGCATTTCTGATGCATGAAGAGACGCTCTTCATCTCCACATCTGCATTTACTCCTCAGAAAGTCACTGTGAAAACATTTTCATCATTCGTTATCATAACTTTTCACAAATCTCTTCTCAGATCAGCTTAGATTGACAAATGTTGTTCAGATAACTTATTTAAGTTTCTGTTGAATAATCTAATCTCTTTGTATCAACTCAAATTTGTAGTTTAAATAAACTCAAAACTTGATTTTTTGTTTCAAATTTTGCGTTGTTTGATCAAAACGTGTTGGTTCGGCTACTTAATGGAAGTTAAACCAAGAAATCATTTTTACAATGTAGAATTTTTCATATCAAAACTGATCGGCTACTGTTAAAAAAAAAATGTTAGGATTAGTTAACATTTTAAGTTAACATTTAACATTATGTTAACATTTTATTTTTTAAGTTATATGAGATGCACCTCGATTTTTAAGTCAGTTCAATAGTTCAGTATAATTTAAGTTGAGATGACTTCTACAGCAAATTTGATTATGACATTTATATGTAATATAAACTTGCGATTCTGAGAAGAAAACTCCAGAATGTGATAATCTTGATAATAAAGATAATCTTGCAAATGCATGATAAAATTCAGAATTGCGAGTTAAAAAGTTGCAGTTATCTAGTTTTTGTAATATATATATATATATATATATATATATATATACTGTATATATATATTCCATAGTGGGGGGAAAAAAACAGAATTGTGAAATGTAAAGCCAAAATTCTGAGAAAAACTGTCTGAATTGCAAGACGCAGTTACTTTTTACATTTTTTTATACTGTTGCAGAAACGTCCATATTTTTTACTATTTTGTATCATTTTTATCTAATGCACTTTGAATTTCCATTGTGTATGAATGTGCAATATAAATAAACGTGTTGCATAAATCAGCTTATTTGGACAGTTACAGAAGAAACAGCAGTTCTGACCGTTGCGAGCCGGACTCGAAGCTGTGCTCCTCTGATGAAGGTCTGTGTGTGTTTGTGTGTGTCAGGTGAAGTGCTGTAAGTACTGGCCAGACGACACCGAGATCTACAGAGACATCAAGGTGACGCTGATCGAGACGCAGCTTCTGTCCGAGTACGTCATCAGAATGTTTGCGGTGGAGAAGGTGAGAGACGCTCTTAAATACTAGATAGATTCTATACTTAATTCTATAAAGTGCATAGTTTATAGTAAGGGAACGAAACTTTGCAAATGCTTTAAAACCCTCAAAATACACATCATTAATTTTTTTTCAGATTTTTTACCATTATTTTTTAAGAGATATAACCATTTGTAAATAAAAATGTTACACGTTTTGTGTTTGGGTCATTTTGATGTATGGAGTACAATTAGTGCCAAAAACTTCAGTAAAATATATTTCCCCATATCTCACACTTTGGGACTGAATTTTGCTGGTAAATATGAATATGTACATCTATTGACAAACCATTGCATATTTTTAGCTACACTCAGAAAAAAAGCTACAAGTACCTTTTTAAAAGGAACACTTTTGTACCTTTTAGGTACACTTTGGGTACCAATATGGACCTTTTAAGTACAAAGGTGTGCTTTTGAAAAACCTTTCTACCTTTTTTCTGAGAGTGTATTGATACCTTTGCAGCATAGAAACTGATCACTTTTTTAATCTGAACGTGAAAGTTTATGCAAGTAAAATGAATTAATTTTGTTTGGAAACAGTAATATTTAGGTTGTTTTGATGTGGTTTTGTTAGAAATACACTACCGGTCAAAAGTTTGGGATCAGAACGATTTTAAGTGTTTTTTACAGGAGTCTCTTCTGCTCATCAAGGCTGCATTTATTTGATCAAAAATACAGGAAAAAATGTAATATTGTGAAATATTATTATGATGTAAAATAACATTTTTCTATTTTAATATACATTAAAATGTAATTTATTTCTGTGATGCGCAGCTGAATTTTCAGCATCATTACTGCAGTCTTCAGTGTCACATGATCTTCAGAAATCATTCTAATATGCTGATTTATTATCAGTTGTGCTGCTTAATATTGTTTTGGAACCTGTGATACTTTTTTTCAGGATTCTTTACTGAATAAAAAGTTAAAAAGAAGAGCATTTATTTAAAATAGAAATATTTTCTAACAATATACACTACTGTTCAAAAGTTTGGGGTCAGTACAATTTTATTCTTACTTTTTTTGAAAGAAATTAAAACTTTTATTCAGCGAGGATGTGTTAAATTGTTATAGCAGAGATTTATATTGTTAGAAAAGATTTATTTTGAATAAATGCTGTTCTTTTAAACTTTTTATTCATCAAAGAATCCTGAAAAAAGTATCAGTTTCCAAAAAAATATTTGGCAGCACAACTGTTGATAATTCTAATAATAAATCAGCATATTAGAATGATTTCTGAAGATCATGTGACACTTTATACTGGAGTAATGATGATGGAAATTCAGCTTTGATCACAGAAATAAATTATATTTTAAAGGATATTCAAATAGAAACCATTATTTTATATTGTAATAACATTTTGCAAGATTACTGTTTTTTTTCTGTATTTTTGATCAAATAAATGCAGCCTTGATGAGCAGAAGAGACTTCTTTAAAACACATTACAAGTCTAACTGATCCCAAACTTTTGAACGGTAGTGTATATATATCTGTTTCATAAACGTGAACTGTTTTTGATCAGTCATGAGTTATTCAAAAGCTCTTGGCTAGCTGCTGCTGTAGTTTTAGTCCATCGGCAGCAGATATAAGGTGTGTGAAAGCGAGGTGATGATGAAGTCTCTGTCCGTTCTGCAGCGAGGAGCTCATGAGATCCGTGAGATCAGTCAGTTTCACTTCACCGGCTGGCCGGATCACGGCGTTCCGTATCACGCCACGGGTCTGCTGGGATTCGTGCGCCGGGTCAAAGCCAAATCCCCCCTCAACGCCGGACCCATCGCGGTCCACTGCAGGTACCACGCCACACATGAGCTCTTGCATTTCATTTGTTGCTGTTGTTTTCACTTATTCTATTGTGTTTTGGATATGTTTATAACTTATACAAGTATATTTTTCTAATTTAAAAATATTAGATTTGTATTTATTATGTAAATTGCCTTGAGAAGCTGCTTCTATCTATATAAAAATGAAGTTTATTATTATAAAATGTGAAAACCACAAAACCAGTCATAAGGGTCAATTTTTTGAAATTGAGATGTATGCATCATCTGAAAGCTGAATAAATAATCTTTCCATTGATGTATGGTTTGTTAGGAGAGGATAATATTTGAAAATCTGGAATCTGAGGGTGCAAAAAAATCTAAATATTGAGAAAATCATCTTTAAAGTTGTCCAAATTAAGTTCTTAGCAATGCATATTACTAATCAAAAATTAAGTTTTGATATATTTACGGTAGGAGATTTACTAAATATCTTTTGACCCATACAATGTATTGTTGGCTATTGCTACAAATATACCCCAGCGACTTAACACTGCTTTTGTGCTCCAGGGTCACAGATGAATCTATGTTCAGTTTTTGCGAAATGTAAAAGTTTAAATAAAGCACATCATGAAACACTCATTGTAATAAGATTGAACAGATATTATTGTTAACACTACCAGTCAAAAGTTTGAAATAATTCAATTAAAATAAAAATTATTTAAATTAAAAGAAGTTGAAATTGAAAGAAGTCTCTTCTGCTTAGCATTTACTGCATTTATTTGACTAAAAATACTAAAAATAAGTAATATTGTGTATAAGAGAGACTTCTTTGTAAAACATAAAATAATCATAATTATTCCAATTATTCCATAGTTAATTGTGCCATTTTTTGCAACTTTTTTTCTGACAGTTATGACTTTATATATTCAGAATTGTAACATATAAAGTCAGAATTGTGAGATAACAAGTCAGAATTAACTTTATTATAATTTTTTTACTATGTGGCAGAAGCAATAAAAAATAATTGCAAGATGTAAACTTCTTTCAAAAGCATTGAAAATCTTAATTATTCCAAACTTTATGTATGTGTGTATATATAGTGCTGATTTGTTTTTTTATATGTTGACATTCAAATCAAGTAAGAAAAACACTTTATACTGGAGTAATGATGATGGAAATTCAGCTTTGATCACAGAAATAAATTATATTTTAAAGGATATTCAAATAGAAACCATTATTTTATATTGTAATAACATTTTGCAAGATTACTGTTTTTTTTCTGTATTTTTGATCAAATAAATGCAGCCTTGATGAGCAGAAGAGACTTCTTTAAAACACATTACAAGTCTAACTGATCCCAAACTTTTGAACGGTAGTGTATATATATCTGTTTCATAAACGTGAACTGTTTTTGATCAGTCATGAGTTATTCAAAAGCTCTTGGCTAGCTGCTGCTGTAGTTTTAGTCCATCGGCAGCAGATATAAGGTGTGTGAAAGCGAGGTGATGATGAAGTCTCTGTCCGTTCTGCAGCGAGGAGCTCATGAGATCCGTGAGATCAGTCAGTTTCACTTCACCGGCTGGCCGGATCACGGCGTTCCGTATCACGCCACGGGTCTGCTGGGATTCGTGCGCCGAGTCAAAGCCAAATCCCCCCTCAACGCCGGACCCATCGCGGTCCACTGCAGGTACCACGCCACACATGAGCTCTTGCATTTCATTTGTTGCTGTTGTTTTCACTTATTCTATTGTGTTTTGGATATGTTTATAACTTATACAAGTATATTTTTCTAATTTAAAAATATTAGATTTGTATTTATTATGTAAATTGCCTTGAGAAGCTGCTTCTATCTATATAAAAATGAAGTTTATTATTATAAAATGTGAAAACCACAAAACCAGTCATAAGGGTCAATTTTTTGAAATTGAGATGTATGCATCATCTGAAAGCTGAATAAATAATCTTTCCATTGATGTATGGTTTGTTAGGAGAGGATAATATTTGAAAATCTGGAATCTGAGGGTGCAAAAAAATCTAAATATTGAGAAAATCATCTTTAAAGTTGTCCAAATTAAGTTCTTAGCAATGCATATTACTAATCAAAAATTAAGTTTTGATATATTTACGGTAGGAGATTTACTAAATATCTTTTGACCCATACAATGTATTGTTGGCTATTGCTACAAATATACCCCAGCGACTTAACACTGCTTTTGTGCTCCAGGGTCACAGATGAATCTATGTTCAGTTTTTGCGAAATGTAAAAGTTTAAATAAAGCACATCATGAAACACTCATTGTAATAAGATTGAACAGATATTATTGTTAACACTACCAGTCAAAAGTTTGAAATAATTCAATTAAAATAAAAATTATTTAAATTAAAAGAAGTTGAAATTGAAAGAAGTCTCTTCTGCTTAGCATTTACTGCATTTATTTGACTAAAAATACAGTAAAACAGTAATATTGTGTATAAGAGAGACTTCTTTGTAAAACATAAAATAATCATAATTATTCCATTGAATAAAAAGTTAATTGTGCCATTTTTTGCAACTTTTTTTCTGACAGTTATGACTTTATATATTCAGAATTGTAACATATAAAGTCAGAATTGTGAGATAACAAGTCAGAATTAACTTTATTATAATTTTTTTACTATGTGGCAGAAGCAATAAAAAATAATTGCAAGATGTAAACTTCTTTCAAAAGCATTGAAAATCTTAATTATTCCAAACTTTATGTATGTGTGTATATATAGTGCTGATTTGTTTTTTTATATGTTGACATTACAATCAAGTAAGAAAAGTTGGAACTAATGTAAAAGTTACTTGAAACCTCTCAATAATACATAAAACTTATAATTATGAATTCATGAAAGATTTTTTACAAATCAGAAACTCATCATGACAGTGATTCTGAGATGATGTAAACACAGCATTTATTTTCCAGCTCACAAATAAAATTCAGATTCAGCTGAAGGTCTTTCTAAACCGATGCTGCAGTGTAGGTTGATTTGATTGTGTTTCATCCCTGTGCTTTTATCTGTCGACCTGAATCTGCGTTTTGATTGGTCGCTCACAGCGCGGGGGCGGGGCGAACGGGCTGCTTCATCGTGATTGACATCATGCTGGACATGGCGGAGCGGGAAGGAGTCGTCGACATCTATAACTGTGTGAGAGAGCTGCGATCGCGCAGAGTCAACATGGTGCAGACCGAGGTACTCCTTCCCTCACCTTTGACCTCTGACCTTCACCTCACTGAGCCTGTCAAGTACATGTGAAAACGCTGAGAGCATTCATGCTGTCTGAATAATAGATGTCATTCACAGTTCAGTCAGTGTGTTGCAGTGGGATGCTATTGCTGTTGGTTACACTTTGAAATATATTTATATGATATAAAATAAAAATTGTATAAATATATTTATATTATATTTATATATACAATAGATATATATATTATACATATTTATGTATAGTTTTCTTACAAATTATATCACATTTTTTTTTTTATTTATATTTATATTTCACACAAATTAGAATAAAGGCTGTAAAAAATAAAATAAAGAGAGATAAATAGGGATAAATGCAGAGTTCTAGCGAAATATTTATTTTATTATATTTAATTTTTCTGAATTTATATTATAAAATTAAAAAATGAATTTTTTAATTAAATATATTTAAATTTATATGTAAAGTTAGAGATGTAGAGCAAGCCCTGGCACACAAAAGAGAGAATACAGATTTTTTTAGGGATAAATATGGTTCTAGTATAAGAGGCTTTAGAAACGAGGCGGTAGAACAGAAAGCTGTTAAAGCGCAGTGAAGGCACTCGTGTGTGTTCCTCCTGATTCCAGCACGTCAATCACGCAGCTGCTATTTTAACCTGTGAGCATCTCATAAACACTCTCAACCAAGAGCCGAGCGGCCCGATGCAGGTGCTTATAGAGCCGCGATACGTTTGAGGAGCGAAAGCATATTATTGCGCTTGGTTTTTACACTCCGCTCCTGACGGGTTTCTGCAGCATCGCTCGGATCGCAGGCATCACTGCGTTTAGTCAGAAGTGCAGCCTGATTCACCCTGCTTAAGTTCAGTGACCTTCAGACGTGTGTGTGTGTGTGTGTGTGTGTGTGTGTGTGTGTGTGAGTGTGTTTGTGTGTTTGTGTGCATGCGTGTGCGTGCGTGCGTGCATGTGTGTGTGTGTGTTTTGTCACGCTTTGACACCCGAAGGGCATACGTTACCTTTTCACGCGCGTGTTTGAACCGTCACTAATCATTTGGGACGACACACTCATTAGAGCTCCGCTGCTGATTGCGTGCCACAGGAAAGGTCAGAGGTCACAGCAGACGCCTAATCAGAGACGCGCTGACCCCGTCAGAAGCGACAGGCCAAGATGCTCTGGAAATGTTACTTCAGCAGTGATTTCCATCAAACGTGTGCGCTCCACAACTTCTGAGTGATTCCGGCGAAAGACTGACGACTCGCTGCTAATAAAGTTTGATGTTCTTTCTGTTTTATGCCGTCAAAAGTCTTCAGTGTCACATGATCTTCAGAAATCATTCTAATATGCTGATTTGCTGCTCAAGAAACAAGATCGGATTCAGAAATCATTCTAATATGCTGATTTGCTGCTCAAGAAACATTTCAAATCAAACATATTTATGTTAATTTACTATTAATTTATATTAATTTCAATTTGTCATTTTAAAATTAAACATTTTATATTAATATATTTTTTTGTTTTAATTCAATTTTCATTTCCTTATATTAAAAAAAAATTTAGTTTACAATTTTTAGTTTACATATTTATATTACATTAACATTTAAATAATTGTAATTAATAATATAATTTTAATTACAATTTTATATTAATAATTTACTTAATTTAATACTTAATTTCCTTTTCTTAATTATATTAATAACATATTTGTGTTAATTTACAGTTATTATATTTATATTATATTTACATATTTATATTAATTTAACATTTATATCAATAATTAAAATTGTATATTAATAATTTAAAAAATGTTTTTCATTTTCTTAATTACATTAATGACATATTTATATTAATTTAAAATATATATTAATAATTAAACATTATTTAATTTTAAGTAAAATTAAACATTTATATTAATATTTTTAAAACGATTAAATTTTAATTTCCTTATTTAAAGGGGTCATATGATGCGATTTAAATTTTTCCTTTCT